GCCTTGGGACACGATCTGCCTACAGGTTCTGGTCCATCACCAGAGCAGGGAAAACCATGAGATTTCGGCAGCGAGTAGGTCGCGTCGTACTGCACGGAGATCGGGATGTCGGTGGACGCGAGTCCAACCGCGAGGATGCTGGCGAGGGTCACGGTGGCAGCAGGTTTCCTTGAACTCATTGATCGCTTGAAAGTGATAGTGGTGAGCTAGACAGGTGGAGTGCGTTGTCGCCACCGACGAGGAAATTGAGGAATGAGCTTTTGTACAAGTAGTGTTGAAGCACAAAGGACCAGCTCTTCATAAATGTATCACCACTAAGGAATGGAAACGCCACACGTTTCCATGATGCGTGTGGCTTTACTTTTTGAACGGATCAATTGTAGAAACGTGAAATCTTTCGTTGTTTCCAGTTGCCAAATTATAGAAACGCATGTTGGAAAAATTTTTTATAGGTACGGTATTTGTGCAGGATTCGCTCTTTTTTTTAAGTAACAAAGGAACCTGCCTGCTATTAGCATTGTTCTCTTAGAGGCAAAAATGAATGCTTACATGCACAATTTCACTCCATAGGTGAATTTATTCGTGTCGAGTTACACTGGTTGGTGTTTGATGTGGCGCTTCACCTGCACTCACCACGGCAATTCGGTCGTAGACGTGGTGGGGTCCGCGTCGAAGAATTTGCCAGTCCTTGAGCGACGCCTCGGAGACGATTTTAGCCATCGAAGCGGCCGAGTCACCGGGCTTGATGTGGCCTTGATGGCCATTCATCTCGGTATCCACGAAACCAGGATTCGCGGCAACGACAATGATGTTGCGCTCGCGTAGGTCCAAGACCAGTGAGCGCGTCACCATGTTGAGTGCGGCCTTGGACACGACGTAGCCATAGTGACCACGAACCATGTGCGCGTTTTCCTCCGTGTTGAGGCTTATGCTGCCCACAACAGAGGAGACTTGCAACACAACAGCATCCCCTCGTGCCTTGACCGCCAGTTCCAGGTTTGGCAACAGCGCACGTGTCACCAAGAACGGACCAGTGACGTTGACTTCGATGTGCTGCATGAGCGATTCCTTCGTGGCCGTCGCGAAAGTCGTGGGTTGGGCAACGCCGGCGTTATTGATGAGCAGGTCGATGGGCACACCGTTCAAGTCACGGGCCGCTTCAAGCACCGAAGACTCGTCACTCGTGTCCAGCTTGACCGTCTTGAACGGGGAGAAGGCCATGAGCTGGTCAAAAAGTGGAGTTGACAACTGTTAGGAAATTTCGACAAAGTGATACGATAGATACGGCATACCTTGTCAGTGTTACTAGTAGCGCGAGCTGTGGCAATCACGTTCCAGCCAGCCTTGGTGTAGTGCTCCACCAGTGCGAGACCAATTCCGCGGGTGCTGCCCGTGATGAGAACGGTTTTCTTGGTGTCTGCCATGGTCGACGTTGGTGTTGTTGGGGTTGAAGAGGTTTGCGGTTGTTGACGAGAATTGAGAAGTGATAGCCTGAACGAGAAAGAAAGAGTTACCATGCTTCAGGTAGACTCGCAAAATGCTCCTGTAGATGGAGAATTACTTTCCCGATTTCAACTGATTAGACACGGATGACGAAATCACCCCACACGATCGAAGGTGTGACTCATGCTTCGATATTCAGATATTTTTACGGAGAGTGAATAGTGAATGTTTGCTGCACAACAAGCCAAAAGGTAAACATGGTAGCTACGTGACGGTTTTCACGCTAAGGTCGTATAAGGAATAGTATACCTAACAGCAGCAACAGCAACAATAACTGGTACGCGTCAGGACAGGTCCTATTGTGCAGTTCCGGGGACACCAAGGATTATGGAGTTGTCTACGAACTAGGATTCCTGTACGCAGTCAAACACTCAGCTCAAGACCCATTGACGGGTCGACACCAGCTATTATAGTATGTCGTGGATGCCTCGATTACGATCCCGGACCACAAGTATCGCCTGCGTCCGTAATAACACTCCAAACACTCCACTCCATCCGAACAGCAATTGAAACGCTTACCAACTCGCACCACCACCCACAATCTTCTTTATCAGCAGCTCCACCTCACACGGATCTACCAAAAGTTTTGATTCAAAACTACATTGCACTCTTCCAACAACACAAACCATCATAAGTCATGCTGTCTGTTCACCCGACTCAAAATTGAGCCCCAATCGGCACAAAAACTGGTCCGACTCTACAGTGCGCCGTGCGTGTTGACGCCACCTGCGAACGCCATGGGCTCCCCGAGTGCGTGCGATGAATGCGGCAAGAAGTTCAAGGTGTTTGGCCTCAAGAAGAAGTGCAAACACTGCATGGACGTTGTGTGCAAGGGCTGTCTGGCCGCCCACCTCGAGCTCAAGCACACGCATCTGAACGCTCCGCCTCGCGGCCTGCGACGTCGCAAGTCGCTCGAGATTTTCGACGCGACAGGCAACGACGACCAGGAGCTGCAGTTCCTGTCCCCTATTGGCTCTCCGGACTTGGAGCTCGAATACGCAGACCCAGAGTCTCCCGACGTGCTGGACGGCGTGGAAGGAGTGGATGCGGTGAGTGACGAGGAGGACGACGGGGATTTCTTGGACTACGACGCGGAGGACGACGCCGAAGACGACGAGCTGATCATGACGACGCTAGCGAGACAGTCCTCTATTGAGGAGGAGGAGATTCAACACCGCGAGATGAACAAGATCCAGGGAGCTGTGGCGACGTGGGCGATTAAGGAGAAACAGGCGAAAATGGACATGAGAGTCAGCAAGAAAGAGAGCTACTGCTCCATGGCCCCTGTCTTCCAAGAGGTCTGTGACTATGAGAACTGCAGTGTGTTTGCAGTGAGCTACGCAGTCATGGCCACAGTGGTGGTTTGGGCGGTGTTTGGACTGCTACTGGCTCTGTACCTGCGTGCACGGAGCTTGCCAGTGGGGTTCAGCTACGTGCTCTAAATGCTGTTGGGTGGAGACAAATTTGGGCCTCAATGTCCAGAATGAAAGTTACATGTAAGCTAATTGAAGAAATACGACAGTCTTTGGTCGCGTTTGGGAGCTGCACCACGCGGAATCTGGTTGAAAATTTCCAAATGTTTGGATCACGTTCTCAATATCTGACGCTTCGTTAAATTACCCCTAATTAGACAGGTTTCGTGCAATCAAGCTGCCACTCGAAATGTTCACATTGTCGCGGGTTCTGCTTAGTGTGCACGCTTGGCAATCTTCGCCGTACGAATGCATCCGTAACCTCCGTCAGAGCTTCACCACCGAAACATATCGGATAATGCTACAGCAGTTGGCTGCAATGCTTCGCTACCCAGATGTTACTTATTTGGCTTTCATTTGGAGCTGTTTGTCTGAAGATTTTATCGGCTGAGGTATGTACTGCTTGGTCGTTGTATGTGTAGCGTGAGGTCTTCGTACTGGTTTTTTTTTATTGTCAGTTTTTGCTGAAGGTCTTTTTGACAAAATAAGTAGACCGGAGCACTAAAGCGATAATCTTATTTTTTAAAGAAAGAATCTGCACCAGTATTGCTAACCAAAATCATTTCATGCACTCACTAATAGTGACGATCTCATTAGTTTTTGGAAGCAGACCGGTTTGCTATTTGATGTTTCCATAATGCCTCACCAGATTCTGTTTACAGGAATACCCACCTGGGTTCACGGTTTGAAGATCAACATGCGTTTCTATAATTTGAAAATCGGAAAGAAAGTTTTCCATAGTAGATCCGTCCAAAATGTAAACCACACGTATCATGAAACGTGTGGCGTTTCCATTCCTTAGTGGTGATACATTTATGAAGAGCTGGTCCTTTGTGCTTCAACACTACTTGTACAAAAGCTCATTCCTCAATTTCCTCGTCGGTGGCGACAACGCACTCCACCTGTCTAGCTCACCACTATCACTTTCAAGCGATCAATGAGTTCAAGGAAACCTGCTGCCACCGTGACCCTCGCCAGCATCCTCGCGGTTGGACTCGCGTCCACCGACATCCCGATCTCCGTGCAGTACGACGCGACCTACTCGCTGCCGAAATCTCATGGTTTTCCCTGCTCTGGTGATGGACCAGAACCTGTAGGCAGATCGTGTCCCAAGGC